AGAAAACTCTTGAGGCTCCGGAATCTTGCTTGATATTTTATTAACGGTAACAGGATTATTGGTGTTAGCGGTGGTTGGTGCAATTGGCTCTGATGTTATGGTAATTGATTTGCTTCTGGTTTGAGGTGGTGATGATATATTTTGCTCGGCTGATTGTTTAGTTTTAGTAGATTTACTTTGTTCAGTTGACTTTTTAGATTTATTTTGCTCTGCTAACTGTTTAGGTTTAGCTGATTTATTTTTTTTCTTATTGGGTGAATTAGCTCCCGACCCAGGAGGAGTGTTTCGGTGACGTTTCTGAAGTGTTCGTCTTTTTAAATACTGCGAATCTGTTTCGCTAACCTCAGAAAACGGCGTTTCGTCCTCCGAATCTTCACTTGACAAACTCTTATCTAAATTCATATCTTCCATATTATGATAAAAGAGAGAAAAAAAAATATATGTACTCCTAAATATGACAATTAAAAAGGTTGAAGATTACGAAATAAACTATTAAATAATAAACTATACACATAACTATAATCAGAAATAAAATAAAACATTTCTTAGAATAAATATTTAAATAAAAATAAAACAGTCTCTGGAAAAGGAAAAAAAACAAAAAAAAAAAAACAAAAAAAAAAAACGTAAATATAATGTGACCTGATGACTGAAGGAAGTCAGTAAACAGAGCCCCTGGCCGTGAGCTTATCGGAGTATGATAAGGCACGTAAGGGAATTAACGGCCTCTCAACCTAACCAAATGAGCACCAATTTATCAATTGTTTATTGTTAATAAATAGTACCTCACCTGCGTGTACGTCAACGTAAAAGTGTAAAACTGTTTATTAACTCACTGTTGATTAAGTATTACACCACAACTTTGAATTTTGAGCACATTACAAAGCAACAAATACAGAGCGACATGAAAGTTATACTGCACATGCGGCCATGACACTTGCTATATTTAAAAATATAAAAAATGAATTATGTGGCAGACCACGATAAACGCTTACAGCAGGGCTGCTTTTCCGCCGATTAAGTACATTTTGTAAGAAACTGTTTGAAATATTTTAAAGGTTAATCATTGATTTAAAAATAACAATTTTTTGTCTAGATATTTCATTTAACGCCATTTTTCGTTATTGTTGTCTGTTTAATTACAAACAATGCTTGATCTTCATCTTTAGTTTGAACGCGTTGAAAAAATGACCTGGTGTTTTTTAATGCCTAAACCAATTTTATTTATTTATATTTTATAAATTTGCACCTGCGCATCTATCAAATTGTATTTATACTGTCTTGGTCTATTTGCTTGAATTTTTTTTTTTATCGATATGGTAGGTCTCTTGGCCATTTTCTTCTTAATCTGCATTGCTCAGGTAACAGAGAGCAGGAGATAAAAAGAACCAGAGGATTGGAGTGATTTTGGGTTGAAGAATGAAATGTAGTGCATTTGTCGTGGATGTAGCATTTTACTGTTGGGGTATTTAAGTCGTTATGTATAGTATTATTTAATATGTACCAAGGTGCGTTAACTATTTTTCGTACATTTTTTTATTGTGGTGTTTGTATTTTGTTTATGTGTGTTTGTTTTTCTGAACCCCAAAGTTCTGCTCCATGTGTCCATGTTGGTCTCAGTAAGGTGTTGTAGATCAATCGCTTGTCTCGTAAGTTAAGTGAAGATCTGTAGTCCAGAAGATGTGAAAGTTGGCTATATCGTCAAGTTCTTGTCTTTTTAATTTCGTATGTATGTTCCAAGTAAGTCTTTTGTCTAAGTAGAGTCCAAGGTACCTTACATAGTTCTTTGAAGACACTAGGCTATTTGCAATCGTTATGGGTGGACGTAAGACTTTCCTAAGAGAGAAACTAACGTGGGTGGATTTATTACTATTTATTTTGATTTTATATTTTTCAAACCACTTTTCAAGATCATGAAGATAGTTTTGTAGGGCAATTGATGCGTTTATGTTTCATAATTTATTATTCTCTGACTATCCACCTTTAATAAAAGGCCAATTATGGCGAAATTAAGCCAACTTTTGAATCTCAGTGGCTGAAAAACTCAAGTCAAAGTTGTCAATCCGCCTTGTTAGGGCGCCATTTTGGGAACTGTTTTTATTTTTTTTGTGGGAACATTGACGTTTTACAAATAAATAGTTGCAAGGAACACAAGGATGTGCAATTTATAGAGAGGTTGGGGGGGGGAGGAGAGAAAGTGGGGAAGATGCACGGTAGGCTCTAGCCTACATAGAGTAAATTTATAGAGGATGGATACATACCATTTTCCAATATCAGCGTTTTGAACTCCGGAATTATCTCTCTAGCCATTTGATAAGAAGCCAGGAGAATACAACTTATTATATATAGAACATTCTTTCTTCCTGTAGTGTGTTACGGCTCGAAAACATGGACCAGAGCCTGAAGACGAAGACAAACTCCTCACATTTGAATAGATTGAACAGATACCATATTGAACGCATTACTGGAAACAGCATTTGCTATAATGTCTAACGCTTGGTTTAAATTCTAAAGGCTGCCATTTTCAATTTAATCCTGTTGCTCATGCCAGATCTTCTTTTTGTGAACAGAATAAGTTCAGTTTTATCCTCGTTTGGCTTTAGTTTCCATCTGTTAAAATTTTCAAAGAATTTTTAAATACCAACGTTAAAATGATTGTTGATGGTGTCCAACCTGTAAGAGAAAATATAAAGAAACACTGCCTCTCTTATATTGTCGACGAAAATGTTGAATAAGACTGGTGCTAATACTGAGCCCCAGGGTTGATACTGGATTGTTTTTTCACTAATCCCTAAGTTTCCTTCAACTTTGAAACTCATCGAATGATCAGTTTTTTTATATCTTGTCGGTCCAAATACGTTTGCATATCTAATTGATGAAATTATATATGGGACTATCTAGATATCCACCCACGCAATTCCTAAAAATTTTATAAAAATCAGTCTGATATGTAGATATAATACAAATATATACTAAAAATGCTACTAGAAAACTAAATAAATAAAAATAATATGGTTCTAATCAATTAACTGTTAGTAAGCAATTGTAATTAAATTACAAAAAAAAAACAAAAAAACCTGTACCTCTACAAGAATATGGAGGGTCTTGGGTTCAGTACTATTTCTGGAAAGTACTGTTTCTTGGTCAACAATGGTGCAAGGAAATGATTTGACCGAGATCACGCTCAATCGCCAGGTTTCCCTCTCAATTAATTATTTAATAAAAGATACCCACTTTATAGAGGTTGGGTGTGTCCTGGGAGAATTTCCCAACCCCAGGGTCACCCCACAGCTGATCAAACAGAATAAATAATTTTTCCATTATTTTTTTTTTATCTAGAAATATAACAATCTGTCACGTGGACAATAATTATAGTGATATATGAATACATGCGTACCATATATACATAAAATATAAAATTAACAAAAGTAAAATAATAATCAAAAACTATGTACAATAAAAAATAAAATAATCTAAAGATAAGTAAATTAAAAACATAAAAACACAGTCATACAATATATACAATCAGGCAGGGAACTCCAAGCCAGGCTTCTCCTCCCAGCTATAGAAGGAAAAACAGGACTTCAAGAAATCCCTGCGCTATTCTCTCAACTGCGTCACTGCTGCTAAAGCCAGTGGAGTTTGAGCAACAGCGCTTTAGCCACATACACTCATGTCTTGAGTGGAGAGTCTGGCCATGGACAGAACTCCAAGATATATAATACAAAAGATCTCTGGGCCACTGCCGCTTTAACCTTCGATGAAGATTGTAGGGATGAGTGGAACTAGATAAGGATTGTGCTAGGGGATTCGGATGATTTATAAGATTCTGATGGAATTTCGAAAAATTTTCAGTGATAAAGTAGAGGACAAATGGGATATTAAGGTCATGATGTAAGGTTTTGTTGGTTACATAGAACGGACCATCGACTATTGTTAGGAGGACTTTGGACTGAAAGGATTGGATGTGTTTGATGTTAGAAAATTTAGCTGCCCCCAAATTGTTTCAAAAGGTTCCAAAGGTTTCAAGATTGTCTTGTATATCAGTAATTTGTTGTCAATTGAAGGTTGAGATTTTCTATTCAGTAGTCTATATGATTGGCCGTATCGTCTGTTAAGTTCTTTTTTTCCATTTAATAGATTCATGAAAGTCAGATTTCCTAATTACCATTATTAACAAACTTAATAATGTTTTGACTTACAATGTTTCCTTATTCCATTGCTGATTTACAAACAAAAAATATAAGATAAGAAAATATAAATTTTGTTTAGTTTTATACAATAATTTAATAAAATTTTGATGAAAATTGTATTTATTCACACTTGATATTATTGTTTCTTTGAAGAATTTTATAATTGTTTTTACTTTTTTATTATCAAATAGGGAAACAATCTTTTTAATTAAGTTCATTCCTAAGTCCAAATAGAGTACATTTTATCAAAATCGTACCAAATGCTACATTTCTATACTAGAATTATTTTCTATCCTGATAATAATTCTTTAAAATCATTATAATCACAATTTATATATTAAAATAATGCAAAATATTCGGATGTTGCTTGGATTTTAATTTATCATTAGAACTTTAAAGTATAACAGTATAAAGCTGCTGTTAATGCAAAAGATCGTATGTGACAATTTATTTGTTTATTCTATTTGTAATAAAGGTGACATTTTGCAGTCTGCTACTATGGGAAATGGTATAAAGAAATAAAATAATAAATTATACTAATACATCATAAAGTAATAATCAATTTTTATGATTTATGATGCTCTTTTGTATCTGTAAAAAATTCACTTTTTACACATGGCCTTTTTCACTAACAGTAGCAAGATTAGATAATATCATAACACCACTCATTAGTGTTAAAAAAGTCTTATCATAATATTTAATGAAGTCAATAACTTTAATTAATTATTTAAATAAAAATGAAAATATTGTATATATTTAATTAACCTCTCATTAATATTTATATCTAAGAAAATTTATTGTTTATAGGTATCATGGATACTAGCATAAGCAGTGAGAAGTCCCATCCATGTCCACACTGTGATCATAAATTTGTTACACTTCAAGAATTGAAAAACCATATTACAGCTCTTCATTCACTTGAGAGATCTCATCATTGTCCTTATTGTAATTATAAATCTACTAAAGCTCAATATTTGAAAAGACATATAATTTCTCGTCATACAGATGATAAGCCTCATCATTGTCCTCATTGCAACTATAAATCAGTTACTCTTCGAGAAGTAAAAACACATATAATGGTCCATCATACAGGTGAGAAGCCTCATCAATGCCCTCATTGTGATTATAAATGCGTTAAACAACCAGTATTGAAAAATCATATAAGGGCCCGTCATACCGGTGAAAAGCCTCATCACTGTAATCAATGTGACCATAAATCTACTACATCTAAAGAATTGAAAAGACATATAATGGCCCGCCATACCGGTGAGAAGCCTTATCAATGTCCTGATTGTGAATATAAATCTGTTACACATCAAGAATTAAAAAATCATATAATGGCTCGTCATTCGCTCGAGAAGCCACATCAATGTTCTCACTGTAATTATAAATCTATTACATCTAAAGAATTGAAAAGACACATAATGACTCGTCATACTGGCGAGAGGCCCCATCACTGCCCTGATTGTGACTATAAATCTGTTACATCTCAAGGATTGAAAAACCATATAATGGCTCGTCATAAACTTGAGAAGCCTCACCAATGTCCTCATTGTGGTTATAAATCAGTGCTATCTGGTAATATGAAAAGACACATCATAGCCCTTCATACAGGTGAGAGGCCTTATAAGTGTCCTCACTGTGAACATAAATATATTACAGCTCATGATTTGAAAGTCCATACGATGGTCCGTCATACTGGTGAAAGACCTTACCAATGTTCTCAATGTGCCTTTAAATCTGTTTCCGTTCGAGATTTAAAAATGCATATCATGGCGCGTCATACACTTGAGAAGCCGCATCAATGCCCTCATTGCGACTATAAATCAGTTACACTTCAAACATTAAAAAAACATATCATGGTGCATCATACAGGTGAGAGACCCCTTAATTGTCCTTATTGTGACAGTAAATATTTTACACCTCTAGATTTGAATAGACATATGATGGCTCGTCACACGGGTGAGAAGCCCCATAACTGTTCTGTCTGTGACCATAAATTTATTACACCTCTTGAATTGAAAAGACATACAATGGTCCGTCATACAGGTGAGAAGCCTCATAAGTGTTCTCATTGTGAATATAAATCTGTTACAACTCAAAGTTTAAAAAGACATATAATGGTCCACCATACAGGTGAGAGACCTCACAATTGTCCTCATTGTGCACATAAATCTTTAACCTCTCTTGAATTGAAAAGACATATAATGGCCCGTCACACAGGCGAAAAGCCTTATCAATGCCCTCATTGTAACTATAAATCTGTTACACCTCAAGAAGTAAAAAAACATATAATGGCACGTCATACATTTGAGAAGCCTCATCACTGTCAGCAATGTAGCTATAAATCTGTTACCCTTCAAGATTTGAAGAGACATGTAATGGCTCGTCATACGGGACTGAAACCTTATCAATGTCCTCATTGTGATCATAAATCTGTTACATCTACAACTTTAAAAAGACATATAATGGCCCGACATACACTTGAAGAGCTTCATCAATGTCCTCATTGTGATTATAAATCTATTGCACCTCTGGGGTTAAAAAATCATATAATGGCTCATCACCCAGATGAGAAACATTATTATTGCCATCATTGTGACTATGCATCTATTTCTTTTCTAAAATTAAAAAAGCATATAATGGGTCATCATACAGGTGAAAAGCCTTATTAATCTGTCCACTTTGACCATTTATTTCATTTCAAGATTTGAAAATTCATTTAAAAGCTAATTATTTAGCTGAAACAATTATTCAAAGTGGATTATAAATAATGATCCAGGCTAAAAGTATTGGATACATACCAATATATTCATTTTTCACATAAACTAACGTATTTCATACAAAATTTTACAGTAATTTTTCACAATAGTATTTTTGTTTTTTTAATCCACCGTAGTCGCTTCTTATATTTATTTACGAATCATTATACATAGTAGAAAGTTCGTTAGCCAACTGGGGCGGAGAGAGGAGGAGTAGCTAATTCCCTTAAGCCGGAGAGTATTAAAGGCCATCAACACGCCTAAGTTGATAAACAACATTTTTCTTACGTAAGTAAGTATTTTTTTTCTGTCAACAAATTGGTGCAATGCTCAACTTGTGACGGCCCTATCGTGAGACACGATAAATATAATTTAAGCTGTAATAAATGCCGCGTAATATTTCACGGCAAATGTTGCAATTACAGTGAAAAGGAGATTGACGCTATAAAATTACAAAAAAAAGCATGGCTATGTAAAAAGTGTGAGCAGGGCAAAAAGGCTGCCCCAGCTAGTGATAAGTTACCCAGTCCATCCAAGAGCGACACCAGAGAACCCTCCTCATCGGACATTCTCCTGGCCGTCAACAAGCTCGGTGAACAGGTAAATGAAGATATAACTTGAGAATTAACTTGTGGTGCGTGAACTTGAGGTGCGTGTCAACAAAGCCGAGCAAGGTCTACTTCGTAGATCAATAGGAATTCGTGGCATCCCGGTACGCGCGGGAGAGACTCCATCGGCCTTGGTAGCCAGCCTGGGAGCCGGCCTCGGGATTAAGATCAACCCAGAGGACCTCGACTTTGTGGAGCGACGGAGACCAAGAAAAGATGATCCCCGACCACCACCCGTGATTGCTCGTTTTGTGAGGCAGTCTGTACGCGACGACTTGGTGCAAAGAAGAAAGGTAAAAAGGGACTTTTCTACTAGGGATATTGGTTGGCAAGAAAACGACTCCCACCTGATATATTTCGGCGAAGAAATGTCTCCTATGAATAGACGTCTGTACCGACTCGTCCGTCAGAAGAGAGCAGCAGGCAAATTAAAATTCTTATGGTTTGCGGGGGGTAGAGTTCGTTGTAGAAAAGAAGATGGACACCCGGTGATCTGCATCGATCAGCCACAAGATCTTGACATTTTCTGCTGACGGTTCGACATTCGTCAACTAGATGATCATAATTGGGAAATGTTAAGCGTTGCCTACTATAAATCACTTTGCCGTATTATGTTACTGTTTTACCATTATTTTTTCTCTAGCACAACTGACGTAATCTTTTATTTTATCATGTTTAGTCTTTTTTATCATTGCTGCATATTATTATTATTATTTGTATTTAGCAATTACTTGCTTCTTTTTAAATGTTATTCATTATATTTCAGCTGCCTTTCATCATATTTCTCTATTTCCTATCCAACATGACTTGTATCCTGACCTCTTGTCATGTTAATTCCCAATCCTTACCAGCCCATTTCGACGAATTTCAGCAATATTTTACCTCCAATTTTTACCATACTATTGCAGTTTCCGAAACATGGCTAAAACCCCACATACCTTCCTCTTCCGTTTCCTTACCCGATCACACCTTTATCCGCCATGACCGGATTACACGAACGGGTGTTGGTGTGGGTCTTTACGTCCATAATAGCCCGAACCATAGATATCTCACCCCCTTCCAAATGTCCCCACATGGAATACCTTTTTGTTGAAATTTCCTTTAAAGCCCATCTCCTCCTATACGTTGTAGTATACCGCTCTCCTCTGCTACCTTTCGACTCATCCTTCGAATCAACCCTATACAAATTTATCCCATTTTACAGTAACATAATAGTTTCCGGTGATTTAAACGCCAATCTCCTTTCCGATTCCCACGATAAACACTACCTTGAAAATCGTTTCTACTCCCTTAACCTCTTTATAGTGCCATTTGCCCCTACGCATCACACTTGCTGGTCTGATACATGGCTGGACCTGTTTATCATCGATTCTGCGCAGAACCTTTTGTCCTCGTCCCAACAACCTGTTCCTTTCTTGTCTTCACATGACCTCATCCAACTATCATACAATATCCAGACCCCTGCAATCCTTCCTAAAACCATAACCTTCCGCAATATAAATTCCCTAACCCGTGAAAGCATCTTACCCGATATTGAAACCCTGAATTGGAATGATGTTTACACCAGCTCCTCAATTGATAACATGGTAGATATCCTGACTTCTAATCTCCTCCATATCCTCTATACCCATGCCCCACTTAAAACCTCTACATTCCGCCGCCAACCTGCTCCTTGGATGCTTCAAGAAATTCGAAATATGCAAAAGAGACGTGAGGCCGCCCGTAGACGTTTTAGAAGAACCAGGCTTGCAGATGACTATGAAGCGTTCAGGGTACTCCGTAACTTGACGCAAACAACGATCAGGCAAGCGAAAACGAATTACTTTCATGAAGCCTTCTCCTCAGCTCCCGATTCTAAATCCAAATGGCATTTACTCCGAAAGCTATCTCTTTGCAAATCATCTTCTTCCATAGCTGTCCCAGTCTCTCCTGATGCCTTAAATTTCTACTTTTTATCCTCCTCCTCTAGTAATATTTCTCCCGCCTCTTCTTATTTTCCTGTATCATCTGCATTTAATAGTGTCAATTTTTATTTTTCCTACATCACTCCTACGAACCTTATTTCCTCCATAATGAAATCCCAATCTAACTCTACAAGATTTGACGGAATACCGGTGAAACCGTTAAAATTATGCCTCCCTGAAATCCTTCCAGCTCTTCTATTCATTTATAACTTTTCCCTTCGAAATTCTGTTTTTCCTACATCCTGGAAAAAAACCTTAGTCCGTCCTATTAACAAAATCCCTAACCCCACCTCTCCTAAAGACTATCGTCCAATCTCCATCCTCTCAAATCTGTCAAAACTCCTCGAAAGAATAGGCCAATCCCAAATTTCCAATTATCTCGAAGAGTTCAAACTTTTAGATCCTCTCCAATCTGGCTTTCGCCCAGGCTTCTCCACTCAATCCGCTTTAGCTAAAATCACAAATGACATACATACTGCAATTGACAAAAGAAAACTGACTGTATTAGTACTCCTGGACTTCTCCAAAGCATTCGACTCCTTAGACCATTCTAAGGAGTCGAATTCTATTCTCTTCAATAAATTAAAATCTCTATCCTTTTCCAATAGTTCTATCCAATGGTTCCAATCCATTCTTTCTGACTGGACTCAAGCCGTTAGTATTCCGAATCAATGCTTATCTTCTTTCCTCACTTTGTCTCATGGAGTAGTCCAGGGTTCAAGCATTTCTCCTATCCTTTTTAATTCTTACATCAATGACCTTCCTAGTTCAATCCACCATTGTTCATACCATCTATATGCTGATGATTCCCAAATTTATTTTTCCTTTCCGCCCACTGAGTTATTAGAAGCGTTTACGAATATTCAGAGAGACCTAGATAGGATAAGTGCCTGGGCAAGGTTGAATAAATTAAAGTTGAATGCAACGAAAACTCAGGCCATTCTTATAGGTTCCAACTCCCTCCTTAGATCCATTTCCACCCATCCTTCCTTGATTATTAATGACCAACCAATCTCCTTCACCTCCTCTGTAAAAAACTTAGGAATTACCTTTGATCAAAACCTATCATGAAACCCCATATTGCTCAAATCTCCAGAAGGTCAATTGGTACTCTTAAATTATTTCATCGTTCTCCTCAGCATCTCCCACAACCTATCCGCAGGGTCCTCGTTTTCTCATTGATTTTCTCCTACTTTGACTATGGCTGTGTGGTATACGGTGGCCTCTCGTTGGAGCTTGAGGACAGACTGAAGAGAATCATGAACTGTTTTTTAAGATTCGTCTTCGGCACTTCGAGATGGTCTCATGTGTCCCACCTATATGCCGAGTCAAAGTGGCTCTTCCCCTCTTCCCGCCGCCTATACTTCCTTGGAAACTTCTTATACCAAACGATCAACTCCCAGCACCCTTCCTATATCTGGTGTCTCCTCCAGCCGAAACCGTTAGTCCACTCAATAAAAACGAGATCCCGTGATTCTGACCTCTATATTCCATTCCACAGAACAAAAACCTATGAACGTTCCTTCTTAGCTCGCTCCGTCTCCTACTGGAATTCTTTGCCACATAACATCCGCCATGCCTCTTCCCTGTAAACTTTTAAATACCTCCTTTTCCAATATCTCCTTACATCCCAAACAGAAGATTTACCACCATAAATTTCATTTTATGAACTGAATTTGCGTGAAGTAAATGGTGGTGCCTACTGTTTAAGTTTTAACATAAAACAGCAATGATTTTTGACTATTATTTTTAATATTTATTTGTATTTCTCTTCGCCTCAGGTTTTGCTTTTTCTTTCAGGTATATATGTTTATATTTTATACTTTTTGTCTCTGTGTGTGCCAATATGAGAATGTACGTATAAATGGCGGTAGAGCGTGATCTCCGTCAAATCACCTCCTTGCACAACCATAGACCAACAAAAAGTGCTTTCCCTAAATTGCTGTATCAATTTCATTGCATTCCGTCAACTGATTTCTCTTAAATATACCCAAGCGTATTTTTCGTCATACGTCCATTTCTTAAAACAGTATGTTCGATTTCGCTCAAAGCTGGAGGAATTGATAAACAAATGATCAAGTAGAAATCCATTTCAGGAAATTCAATCCCCTACTCTCAGAAAATACTTCCGCTTTCGAATATGTAAACGCATTATTTTGAACGCCTATATTTTGAAAATGGGTTATTATATTAGACCGAAAGTTAAAGGCAATGCGGAGAATAGTGTATGAATTCTCTTGTATCAATTTCATTGAATTCTGTTGAACAATTAAAATTAATATAAATAACTTTTAAAAATATAATGGCTGTGAAAAGTGGTAGGCATTGATCATGTGAAAGGAAGGTTATGTTCATAGTATTGTTTTATGAGTTTATATAATTTTTATCCAAAATCCTTCATAAAATCCTCAATGCTCCTCACAAATAAAATAATCCATAAAGACCTTAATGTTCCAAATGGCCC